CAAGTATCCCCATAATTCCATTTTTAAATAATGAGAACCAAAAGTATTTATCTTAAGTCACATTCATTTTAAAGAAGTAATTGAATATAATCCAGTTCTGATAGGGAGGCCTCTATCTTTACTATGGAAAGGACTTACTAAGAAAAATGTGTCAAAAACAGAGTCACCTAATGTCAAAAACAAAGTCTTGTCATGAGAGTTCTACAAATCTGATCATTCCCTTCTCAAGGAGTGGACCTTAAAGGATGTCAAATGTTTTTACCATGAACTTTGCCATAGCCTGAAGAGACTGCTCAGATGTCCAGGAAACATATCCACAATCAGCAAATCAATTATTTTTCATCTTTTCTTTCATTAATTGGCTTTTTTCATTTACTGAGGCTCATTATTTATTTAAGTTTATTGAGATCCCTGAAGTATGGCGAAATTCAAGTCCAGAGAAAGAGAAATACATTTTTTACCTAAATGAAGCATCTAGTGTTGTGGGAAAGCAAACCATCAGTATGTAACAATCATTACACTATGTACTAACATATATTAAGTTATTGTAGTCAATTTAGTGTGGGTTATGGGATACTTTCTCAGGCATTTACATTTGGTCTTCTTTATTCAATTAACCCAATGTAGCAACTCACTCACAGAAATGTCCAGAAATTTATATCATAGGTGTTTCTAGATCTTATCTAGCTGATGATTAGTCGGGAGCACCATGGCAACCATGTCAATGATTGTAAGACATAGTAAGTAATGCAATTCTTTTGAGGATTAAGAAAGACAATAATTTCTTTAGATTTATGGCTACAGCTGATGCATGGAGGATAAATTAGAAAAGAGTGAGGACAGAAGAGGAAATCTTTGTAGAATTGTCATAGGTTAGCCTACATAAACAGAACACACACAAGTGAGAACACATACCTGAACATATATAAGCATACTCACATATGCAGACATTCAAAAACATGAATCAAGAGAATGTTTTAAGTGATAGTAATTAAACCCACATGTTATTGGCATAAAAACAGACACATTAATCAATGGAATCAAATTGAAGACCCAGATATTCACACACCTATGGTCACAAGATGTTCTTTTTTATTAAGAAGCTAGAAATATTAACTGGAAAAAAAGAAAGCACCTTCAATAAATGGTGCTGCTCAAACTGAGTGTCTACATGTAGAAGAATGCAAATAGACTCATGTTTATCACTCTGCCTAAAACAAAACTTCGAGTAGATCAAAGATCTCAACATACAATGAGACATACTGAACCTGATAGAAGAAAAAGTGGGAGACAACCTTGAAAGCATTGGCACAAGAAACAACTTACTGAACAAAACAGTGTTAGTAAATAAAGGGAAAGTTATCCTGGCCATCCAAAGCCAGTCTATACCTGCAAGTGTTACAGCTGTGCAGGGAAAAGTATCCTGGCCATCAGAAGCCAGGCAATATTTACAGCTCTATCCTGGTGGGAGATGCTTTCTCCCACAGGAATGTAGCAGTCTGTCCCTCTCCAAGAGAGCTGTTACAGCTCAGCTCTGCTCCATTCCACTAAGGGGATTTCCTGACAGAGACATCCATTACTTCTCTGATCCACTCTGCTAAGGGGGTTTCACCCTCAGGAATGTAACAATTCTACTCTTGCTCTGGCAAAAGCTGTTACTTCCCTGACTCACTCCATTCCAGTGAAAGAAGGTTTTCATACAAACGTCTTACAAGAAATTTATTGGTAGGAAGGAATCAAGGAGAGTGATTGCCTCTGCCAAGGCATAAAAAGGCAGCTCCCAACTGAACAGGTACAGGTCTTATATAGGTTTCCAAGGGATGGATTTTTTCCAGGGTGGAGATTTTCAGCATGGGATTTGGTTGGATTTCATTCCCTAAGCTTAGACAAGCTCAGAGACGGGATGGATTTCATGCTCAAGGATTGGTTGGTTTTTGTGCTGAGCTCGTCAGGGATAAAGTGTATTTATTTAGTTTTTGTTTCAGGACTGAAGTATGTTTCTTTCATTGGTCCTTTTTTACCTTTTAGCTCTGGTTTCAGTGTCAGGTTGTGTTTCTTTGGTGGGCCCTTTTATTCTACAATTAACACACTGGGATCAACAATTAACAACTAGGACCTCACAAAAATAAAGAGCTTCTATAAGGCAAAGGACACCATCAACAAGACACAGAGGCAGTCTACATAATGGGAACACTCCTCTACAGCTGGTGAGAGTACAAACTAGTGCAGTCACTTTGGAAATCAATATGGTGGTTTCTCAGAAAAATGGGAATAAATCTACTACAAGACCCAGTTATACCACTCTTGGACATATATCCAAAGGATGCTCAATCATACCATAAGGACACTTGCTCAACTATGATCAAAGCATTTTTATTTTTAATAGCCAGAACCCAAAAATGATCTATATGTCCCTCAACTGAAGACTGGTAAAGAAAATGTGGCACATTTACTTAATGGAGTATTACTTATCTCAAAAAAGCAACAACAACCAAACCACAACAACATGAAATTTGTAGGCAAAACCAAACAACAACAACATGAAATTTGTAGGCAAAACCAAACAACAACAACATGAAATTTGTAAGCAAATGGAAGCAATTAGAAAAGGACCATCCTAAGTGAGGTAACCCAGACTAGCTCTTAAGTTACTGGTAATCAAGCTACAATACACACACCTGGAAGGGTAGGTAAATCCAGAATAGAGTAAAAAGTCCTTACTTTCCTGAGGACCTCATTCATAAAGGCCTTGATCTATATTGACTGTGACCAATTGGATTATGAAGAAATATCTGTTTTAGTCAAGGACTATTAAATGCTAATCACATCTTAAAATGCTATCAGAGGTTCATGTTAAATGAACAATGTGGTCAGCACATCTTAGTCATGTTCACACATAATATTAAACCTCTTAACAGTGTAATTTGTGTAAAGTAAATGGGAAAAGGGTCAACTTAAATATTGGCATCAGTGAAGATGGAGATAAATGGTGGAATCATGCTAACCAGAATACACAAACATGTTGTTTTACTGTAGGAGCACAGACAAAAGAGAGATAAAGTGCTTTCATATTTCTGAATCTATTCACTGAGTAGATGATGTGATTTATTACTGGAAGGGAATGAGTTTGAAATAAAAGGGACTGCATACAAATATAAATACAAATTAATTATTAGTATGGATAAATTAACATTCTGTGGGAAGGTGCAGAACACTTTTTCCCAGGCTCAATATGCAACATTAAAAAATGTTTATCTAGGCATCAAAGACCCAAGGGGAATCTCAATGTGAAACACCCACAAAACAAGTAGCTAATATTAGAGTCAGAGGACAGGACAATAGTTCAACTCTTATGCATATAGAAATACCCTTCTAATAGAAAATCTTGTCAACAAAAGATTTACAAAATTTGTCTCTTTCATAAAATTTTGTATCATTCTCTTTCCTTATCACTCATGAAGTTAGTTTAATACAACCAGCATGCATGTACAATGGTGAAGTCCTGAATTTTACTTAAAACAGAGGTTTACTGCAAAAAATGTCAGAAAACAAAGTATCCTCATGGAGAAATCTCCTAACTACATTGTTCTTTTTTCATCATCAAAGAATTGGCCTTAAGCATGGCATATAATAAGAAGATACCTTTGATCCTGGCCTTTTCCTTACACTGCAGTACCTCTTTCCATGTCATGTAAAACATTCAGAGCTTATTGAATGGTATCCTTTGTTTTCTATGGATTTTTATAGCAGTCTTCCTGAAATGGCCAAATGGTGTACAAACTGGTAACTGAAGATGAATCAGAGTGTTGCCCATATGAAAAGAAGAGTACATTTCAGATAGTGGAATTGTGAGACTGTGTGTGAGAGGGTATAGAGATCACAGAGCATGTAGACAAGCTTAAGGTTTTGAAATAATAGCAAATGATTAATTCATAAAGACCATGTATTTTAAAAAGTCATGAGAGATAAGAAGCAACATATAGGGCATAATAATAAATATAGATCTTTGCCAAAGCTGACAAACCCACACTGGAGAAAAGACATCATCTTAAACAATAGTACTTTGAAATAGGATATCACTATGAAGAAGAATAAAACTATATGCTTATCTATCACCTGTGAAAAATCAATTCTAAATTAACCAAAAACCTCAGTGTGAACCATGAAACTCTGAAACTATGGAAGAAAATGTATACATCCTCTGCAAGATATAGGTATGGGAAAGGAATTTTGATATAGAACTCTATTTGCCCATAAATTAAAGCCAACAAATGACAAGTAGAACCTCATAAAACTGATTAGAAAATGGTGTTCATATGAAATAATCTGCTTTATTCATTATGTTAATTACCTCTCCAAACCATCTATGACTTACTTGTAAAAAACACCTGAGAACCACATTGTAATCAAGATGACATATTAAGTTAATCATCTTATTGGCACTATCTACTGGAGGTCAGCTTGAAGTAAAGACACTGACAAAGAACAATAATAGATCAAATTTGATCATAAACTGACAAATTTTCTGACAAAGTAGAACCACAGAAAGGGAAGGGAGAAGATGCCCTTATGTTCCTCAATTAATTGATCCAATTATGAGATTCCTAAGCATAAAGAAACAAGATAGGAGAGATCAACAAATAAAAATGTAAAGATAAAATGATATAAAGATTCTCAAGGGGTGCTGGGGATATGATGAATAGGTAAAACACATTGATTCTACCAGTCTCTGTATTCAACTCTCATAAATAAAAAACGAAATGATTTTGCGTGGAAAAATTTTTGGTTATACATGAAATGTATTAGGTACAACTTATCATGTACATATAATTTACTTTATAAACACTCGCACTGTGCATTTACTACAAAACTCCAAGTCTAGTGAAATTTATATTATGACATTTATTTCACCAATCAATAGCCATTTTCCATTTAGTACAATATATATGATGTGTCATTACTATACAGCATGTGCAAACATAATGAATTAGGAGACATATCTAAGAAAGTATTTTCTTACTAAACTGTCTCTTCAGAGCACCCTTAATCTCTTTATTTTTAAGGCTGTAGATGAGGGGATTCAACATGGGGACCAACACCATATAGAATACAGACACCACCTTGTTCTGATCCATTGAGTAGCTGGACTTGGGCATAACATAGATGAATGCGACAGTCCCATAGAACAGCATGACTGCAGTGAGGTGAGAGGTACAAGTAGAGAAGGCTTTGTGGCGGCCTTCAGTGGAACGCATCTTCAGAATAGTGATAAGGATATAGGAATACGAGATGGCTATGACAAACACTGTGATCATAGTAACTGAGCCAGCTGAAAATGAGATAACAACTCTAGAAACACTGACATCAGAACAAGAGAGTTCCACCAATGGAGCAAAATCACAGAAAAATCCATTGACTCGATTTTGTCCACAAAAGGAAAGAGAAAAGAAGCAAAAAATAAAGGAGGAAGCATTAAGAAACCCCCCTAAATAAGATCCCAAAACCAACTGGACACAGACTTGTGAGGACATTTTGGTTGAATAAAGCAGTGGGTTGCAGATTGCCATAAAGCGATCATAAGCCATGGCAGCCAGAAGAAAACATTCACATGCCCCAAAGAAAGCAGCTGAGCTAAGCTGGATGCCACATCCAAGATAGGAGATGGCATTTTGCATTACCAGGAAGTTGACAAGCATATTAGGTGTGACAGAAGATGAGATGCCTATGTCAACAGTAGCCAAGTGACTGAGGAAAAAGTACATGGGGTGATGGAGCTGGGAAGAAACTATGATGAGAAGGATGGTGCTGAGGTTCCCAGACACAGTCACCAGGTAGATGCACAGGATGATGGTGAAGAGAATGACTCTAAGGACTGGATCATCTGTCAAGCCCAATAAGATGAACTCCGTCACTGCAGTGTGGTTCTTATCCTCCAGGAAAGCCATGTGACTTTGTAGTTGCTGCCAAATCTAGACTGTAATGGAGACATTACAGGAAGGGATTTATAAATATGTGTCTGCATTAATATATATATATTATAGGAATATATAGATATATATATATATGAAAAAAGTCACTGCACGTTTGTAAGCCTGATAGACTCTGGAGGACAAGCACAACTCTGTCCCAGATCTCTAGCACTGGGCAGGAAGAATTTCACCCACAAACATCTGGGTGTTTCTAGTCCTGGCAGACTCTGGATGACAAACACAGCTTCTCTCTCTCTCATATTCCATGGGATGGCATGGATAAGGGAAATATGCCTTTGCCTACCACTTGCCACCTGTGAAAGGCAGGAGAGTTGACCTCAGGGGCATGGGAATGGAAAAGATGGCCCTGTACCTCACCGGGGCAAACAGTAGAAACAGCCCTGGAGTTGTAAGAGCAAGAGAAATGGTCCACCTTCTTGACTCCTACTACATTGGGTGAGCTAGCCTGGGTAGTGCTGGAGAACTAGCCTGGGAGGTAATGATGAGAGAAACCTGGTAGGCTGCCCAACCCAGCTACCACTCAGACCCAGAACCAGGAATATGAGGTAGCCCACCCCAACACCCACCTCATTCATGAACTGCTAGAGCATGTGAACAGGCTAGACCTGCAGATTCAAAGCTACAGGATCTCCATGACACAAGGCAACAATAGTACATCCAAGGGGAGATCCAGTGAGGGGCCAATACTGAGGGTGTAGTAGAAACCAGAGGCCTCAAACCAGACCAATGACTCATTGCAAGGAACACTTACAAGAAAGATGTATAGACTAAAGGGTATACTGTGTGACTCACTGCCACACTAGAGCTTTCATGACAAGATTTTTTAAAATTTATTATTTGTTTGCTTGTTTGTTTTTTTGGCTTTTAACTTTCAGTTTTAAAGTAGTTTTGGGAGGGAGGTTGCAAGAGCAGAGAACAGAAGTGAGGGGACAGAAATATGAGTGGGATTGGGATGTATGATGTGAAATTCACTAATAATCAATAAAAAGTTAAAATATATCATTCAAAATACATACTTAGAGTATTACATTGGGCACTCAGTATTTGTATATTCATATGTATTTAATCTTTCATAAATTTCAAAATGAAATGTTAGGAATCTCCTTTAATGTATCTTTCAGTTACATTTAATCTATATAATAAAATGTGTCTCTGGATTTAAAACTAAGGATGTTAGTGTGAGTGAGGTTTATGAAAATAACAAAGCAGTTATCATATGTACAAGAAAAATTAAATTTTACTAATGTAAAATTTGTAGTGGTTTTAAGTAATTTGTCCTTTAAAAATCATTTCCAAATTAATTGTACTGAATTTAATATAATGTATGGTATTCTATTTCCATGGAATAATATTAAGACTCTTATTGATTCAGGTTTTTTAGTAATTTGAAATTGTTAAGTAACCTACTGTTATATAAGAAGCACTAGAATGAGGACACAAAACATAGGCAAAGTGAATTCAGTATACTCTTATTACACTAAAGTGAGGAGCTTATGTTAATTTGGGAGAGATAGCAGGCCAGATTTTCAAATAGAAAGTCTGTGGTTAGGGACATGGGTCATCAATTCTGTCAGCTACCTGATTACCTTAAGACTAATTTTTATAATGAGAAATAAAATTTTTTGGAAGAACCAAAAGTATAAATGGGAACCCTACTATAAATTTATTAAATACTTTAAGTACTTATTAATTAGACTGTTGCCTTATCATTAATCACATACAAATATGTGAACACTATTTTTAATAATATTAGTAAATGCTTATTCCCACACATACCAAATCCTGTATTAACATAATGTTGTTTTCAAGCTGGAGTGCAACAGAATGAAATAATGTGATTGCTTACTAAGTACATAGGTAAATATTCAACCTGAAATATTAAGTTTACCCAGGTTCCCCATCTAGGAGTAGGCTGACTCTCATCTATTGACATTTTTAACCTTATATTCTTGGGTTTGTCCACAGTGTCTAGAGACTTTGACCCTAAAGCATTCAGTTGGTAAACAAAGTCTTTTTTTCCCATGAGGTGTTTGTCAGGAAATCACCAGTGTCAAAGCTAGTGAATTCATCTTGAATTCATCTGCAGTTGTTCTTGAATTTTAAATTTACATGTCAAAGAGACTATGTGGGTTTCCCGACTTCTCAGTGTATGGATAAATAAGAAAGTAAGTTCTGTGTCTAATTATTCATAGGAATTTGACTATGAATACATAAATCATGTTAATTTTTTCTTAATTATACTTGACTTCTTTGTGTTGATAGCATATATATCATGTATTCAATAAAGGCAGGGGGAAGTCTTTACACTCACCTTTTGAAATAAGGATTCATTCCAAAGTAGAAAGCCAAGATAATTAGAGCATGGTTTTATATCCTCCTAGCTGTATCCAACAGTCATTATTTATCATTGGGAGTAACTCTCTGAAGAGTCTCAGGATTCAAAAGTGAAACCATATCCCCAGGGACTATTATCTCATGTGAAATGAGCCATTCATTACACACAAATTTAAAGGAGTAAATTTGGATTATAGTCAGATGTTTCTCTCCTGACCGCTTGGTCTCAAATATGTGGCAGCCTCTTCCCAAATTACCACACAGAGGATTATATTACTTGTAAATGCTCAGCTGATAGATCAGGCTTGTTAATAGCTAATTCTTACATTTAAATTAATCAGTTTCTATTAATCTGTGATTAGCCACTTGGCTTGGTTCCTTCTCTCAATGTGGTATTCCCATCTTTCTCTCTCTGCATCTGCCAGCAACTCTCTGATTCTGTCTTTCCTCATCCCAGCATTCTCAGTTTGACTTTACTCCCTAATTGTATCCTGTTCAGCCATTGACCAGTCAACTTGCTTATTAAATCAATCACAGAGACATATATTCACACAGTGTAAAGGAATATTCCACAGCATTGGATATTTTGTTTTTATGTAAGAATTGGTTCATTTTCATTTGATAATTATTGGAAGTATATGATAACATAATTGTCTCAAGTAAATATTGGTTCTAGGTTTGTTTTACATTTTATATTGGTGGAATCGGAGATAAAAAGTAGACAACATTGTCTCTTTCATTTAATAATGAAGGAGACATTTCACACTTTTTCATCTGTGTGTTTTATACTAAGTGATGTGATATACTTCCTTAGGTACCTTGGGAAATATGGGAAGGGAAGAGGTGTAAAGTTGAATTTTTAAAAAAAGGAAACAAGTTTTTCACAGCCAAAGATACAAAATATTGTTATATAGAAAACTGTGAATAAAATGATACATGGCTTATCCTCAAGTAAGAATTAGTATCTCCAGCTGGGTGTTGGTGGTGCATGCCTTTAATCCCAGCACTCAGGAGGCAGAGGCAGGTAGATCTCTGTGAGTTCGAGGCCAGCCTAGTCTACAGAGCAAGTTCCAGGACAGCCTCCAAAAGAATACAGAGAAACCCTGTCTCGAAACCCCACCCAAAAAAGAAAAAAATTAGTATCTCAAAATTCCCACCTCGAGCAGTTTTTGTCTTATATATTGTGATGGAATTTGGTAGAAACAGTATTACTGAGGTAGAAGACCCAATCTGACTTCTGGCAACCTTAATTTTTTGGAGTCCTTCACTCTATCTTTGATGCAATGGGTGACCACCAAGCACTAACCAACTTTAATTACTCCACCATTCAAGATCTCTTGTTCACTGTCCAATTCCCAAAGTACAATCATTCTTAAAATTCTGAACAATGCCAGTATTTTATTGAGTATTTTTGCATCAATGTTCATGAGGGATATTGGTCTGAAGTTCTCTTTCTTAGTTGTGTCTTTGTGTGTCTTGGGGATCAATGTTATTGAAGCCTTATAGAAAGAGTTTGGCAAAGACCCTTTTGCTTCTATTACGTTGAATACAATGAGAAAAATTGGTATAAGCTGTTCTTTGAATTTCTGGTAGAATTCTGCACTGAGGCCATCCGGACCTGGGTTTTTTTTTTTTGGTTGGGAGACTTTTGATGACTGCTTTTATTTCCATAGGGGTTATAGATATATTTAAATTGCTTATCTGTTCTTGATTTAATTTTGGCAACAGGTAGCTATCCAGGAAGTTGTCCATTTCCTTTAAATTTTCAAATTTTGTGGAGTACAGGTTTTCAAAGTATGACCTGCTGATTCTCTGAATTTCTTTAGAGTCCGTTGTTATGCCCCCCTTTTCATTTCTGATTTTGTTAATTTGCATGTTCACACTCTGCTGTTTGGTAAGTTTGGACAAAGGTTTGTCGATCTTGTTGATTTTCTCAAAGAACCAACTCTTCGTTGCATTGATTCTTTGTATTGTTTTCCTAGTTTCAACTTTATTGATTTCAGCCCTCTGTTTGATTATTTCCTGGCATCTACTCATCCTGGGGCAGTATGCTTCTTTGAGTTCTAGAGCTTTCAGCTGTGCTGTTAATACTCTAGTATAACTATTCTCCAGTTTCTTCATGTGGGCACTTAGTGCTATGAACTTCCCCCGTAGCACTGCTTTCAAAGTGTCCCATAGGTTTGGGTATGTTAGGTCTTCATTCTCATTAAAATCTAGGAAGTCTTTAATTTCATTTTTTATTTTGTCTTTGACCCAGGAATGTTGCAGTTGTGCATAATTCAATTTCCATGATTTTGTAGTGTTTCTGCATTTTGTGTTGTTGTTGAATTCTAATTTTAATACATGGTAGTCTGGTAAGACGCATGGAGTTATTACAATTTTTTGTAGCTGCTGAGGCTTGATATGTTGCCAAGTATGTGGTCAATTTTTGAGAAGGTTCCATGTGATGGTGAGAAGAAGGTATATTCTTTTTTATGTGGATACAATGTTCTATAGATGTCTGTTAATCCCATGAAAAATCGGATCCAAGAACACATCAAAACAATCATTCACCAGGGATGCAGGGATGGTTCAACATATGAAAATCCATCAATGTAATCCACCACATAAACGAGCTGAAAAACAAAAATCACATGATCATTTCACTTGATGCAGAAAATCTATTTGACAAAATCCAACACCCCTTCATGATAAAAGCCTTGGAGAGATCTGGGATAACAGGAACATACCTAAACATAATGAAAGCTATATACAGCAAACCAACGGCCAACATTAAACTAAATGGACAGAAACTCAACGCAATTCCGCTAATATCAAGAACAAGACAAGGCTGTCCACTCTCTGCATACCTTTTCAATATTGTACTTGAAGTTCTAGCCAGAGCCATACAACAACAAAAGGAGATCAAGGGGATACAAATTGGAAAGTAAGAGGCCAAACTTTCACTATTTGCAGATGATATGATAGTTTACATAAATGACCCAAAGAACTCTACCAGGGAACTCTTACAGCTGATTAACACCTTCATCAAAGTGGCAGGCTACAAGATCAACTCAAGACCATCAGTAGCCCTACCATATACAGATGATAAAAGGGCTGAGAAAGCAAGAAACATCACCCTTTGCAATTGCCACAGACAACATAAAATACATTGGGGTAACGCTATCCAAACAAGTGAAAGACCCGCATCGCAAGAACTTTGAGTCTTTAAAGAAAGAAACTAAAGAAGCCCTCAGAAAACGGAAAGATCTTCCATGCTCTTGGATACATAGGATCAATGTAGTAAAAATGGCAATCCTGCCAAAAGCAATTTACTGATTCAATGCAATACCCATTAAAATACCAGAACAATTCTTCACAGACCTTGAAAGAACAATAATCAATTTTGTATGGAAAAACAAAAGACCCAGGATAGGCAAAACAACCTTACTCAACAAAACAACATCTGGAGGCATCACCATCCCTGACCTCAAGCTCTATTATAGAGCTGTAGTCCTGAAAACAGTTTGGTATTGGCACAAAAATAGACAGGTAGACCAATGGAACCGAATTGAACACCCTGATATTAACCCATACATGTATGAACATCTGATCTTCGACAAAGAAGCTAAAAATATACAATGGAAAAAAGAAAGCATCTTCAACAAATGGTGCTGGCATAACTGGATGCTGACATGTAGAAGAATGCAGATAGAGCCATGTCTATCGCCTTGCACAAAACTTAAGTCCAAATGGATCAAAGACCTCAACATAAATCCAGCCACACTGAACCTTTTAGAAGAGAAAGTGGGTGGTACCCTTGAACAAATTGGTACAGGAGACAGCTTCCTGAACATAACACCAGTAGCACAGACAGTGAGATCAACAACTAATAAATGGGACCTCCTGAAACTGAGAAGCTTCTGTAAGACAAAGGACACAGTCAGCAAGACAAAAAAGCAGCCCACAGAATGGGAAAAAATATTCACTAACCCCACATCTGACAGAGGGCTTATCTCCAAAATTTATAAAGAACTCAAGAAGCAAGTCTCCAAAGCACCAAAGGATCCAATTAAAAAGTGGGCTACAGAACTAAATAGAGAATTCTCAATAGAGGAGTCTAAAATGGCTGAGAGGCACTTGAAAAAGTGCTCAACATCCTTAGCCATCTGGGAAATGCAAATCAAAACAACTCTGAGATACCATCTCACTCCTGTCAGAATGGTTAAAATCAAAAACACCAATGACAATTTATGCTGGAGATGTTGTAGTGAAAGGGGAACACTCCTCCACTGCTGGCGGGAGTGCCAACTTGTACAGCCACTTTGGAAATCAGTATGGAGATTCATCAGAAAAATGGGAATAGACCTACCACAAGACCTATCAACTCCACTCTTAGGCATATATACAAAAGATGCCCATTCATACAACAAGGATGTATGTTCCACTATGTTCATAGGACCATTATTTGTAATAGCCAGAAATTGGAAGCAACCTAGATTCCCCTCAACCGAAGAGTGGATAGAGAAAATGTGGTATATTTACACAATAGAGTACTATTCAGCAGAAAAAAATGGAATCCTGAAATTTGCAGGCATTTTGATGGCACTAGAACAAACCATCCTGAGCGAGGTAACCCAGTCACAAAAAGAGAAACATGGCATTTACAATCTCATATATGGATTTTAGACATAGATTGGGGAGTGCCAGCCTACAATCCCATGGCCAGAGAGTCTGGGAAACAGAATCTGCATTCTGTGCCTGATGGAAGCAGAGGCAGACTCCCTCGGCTAAGCACTGAGCTGAATTCGAGAAATGCAGTGACAGAGAGGGAGGACTGATGAGCAAAGGGGTTAATACTGGGCTGGTTTAACCCCCAGAAACAACTGACCTGACAAGGGTTAGCTCTTGAATCCCAGACTGATGCCTGGGAATCCAGCATGGGACTGATTGAGACCCCCTGAATGTGGCTGTCAGTGAGGAGGCCTAGGTAATCTATTGAGCCTTGGGTAGTAGATCAGTATTTATTCCGGGTATACAAATGGAATTTGGGCTCCCATCCAACAATGAGAGATGCACTCTCACCCTGAAGTCTTGGGGGAGGGTCTAGGCCCTGCCCTGGATGAAATGACAGACTATAGACACCCCCATGGAGGGCCTCACCCTCCCTGGGGAAATGAGGAGATATTGGTGGGGTTGGTAGGAGGGCGTAGGAGGAGGGGAGGGAAATGGAGAGGGAACTGGAATTGACATGTGAAGCAACCTTGTTTCTAATTTAAATTTAAATTTAAAAAGAAAAAGAAAAAAATCTGAACAACGCCTACAGGAAATATGAAAAAATATCTAATGTTATTAACATATCCCAGTGGTTTGTTTCTCTTATATATTGACATTGGCTTCTCTGTTTACAATCTTGTGTTTCAGTTCAGTGGATCAATATTTTTCTCTGCTTTTGACAGGGATAATTGAGGCTTGTCTAGACATTTAATTAGTCCTGATATGCCACTTGTTCTTGACTATATTAGATCCAATTTCAAAGACTGAGTTTCCTGTCCCTCTGTAGCTGTGTTCAGTGCAATGATTGTTTGCTTGAAATTTTCTATGTTTCTGTAGGGGGTGGAGTCTGGGGATTTTCTCTTTCCTATTTTTATGTGGGTTACAGGAAATGAATTCAAGTGATCAAGGTTTTACCATGGAGCTTTAACCTGTTAACCCATCTCACTGAAACTACACACACACACACACACACACACAGAGAGAGAGAGAGAGAGAGAGAGAGAGAGAGAGAGAGAGAGAGAGAGAGAGAGAGAGAGAGAGAGAGAGTCTACTAACCTGATTTATCACCTTCTGGGGATGCTTAAAGAATGCTTATTCTGTAAGGCATAATTTAATATTGGAGATATACTTAGCATTTTATCATTTGTTCCAGTTGTATGCACCAGAGGGCTGATAAAAGTGAAAACTCTGTCACTGTTTGAACAGAAGCCTAAATGCACATGAATGCAATAGTGCATTCACACAGCTTATTCACATAGTTACTACATTGCTTGGCATGCTCCTCACATCCTGCAAGCCTTTCTTAGGTTTTAGGTTCTCAGTGACATTTGCATGGTGAAACCCTTGCCTGTGGCACATCAACCCCACATACATGACTTTGGCTTTGTCATTGATTTTTGCTTTATCAAAAGTTTTCAATCTCTTCTACTACTCTAAATCACTTACCTTTCAGTTTTATTGTCAAGATCTCTCTAAAAATATCCTTTTCATAGCCTCACTGTTGGACTTATAAACTTTAATCTTTTGTAGGAAATCATTTCTGCTATTATTCTAGTGTTTTGCTTTCCTTTGTCCTTTCAAGCTCAAGATTAAGACTCAGTCTAAAGTAGGCCAAAGTAAGAATTCAGTGTTTGAATTTGACAGCAATTCAGATTAACCATAGTAGGTTTTCTTGTTTGTTTGTTTTTTGTTTGAAATCTCACAGTACCACAAGCTTAAACCACACATCAATTTTTTATGGATACAAAAAACCCATATGTCAGAGAAACTTTTCTATAAAAAACATTTCCACCAACTTAATTCCCAAGTAGCTCCCTATCATTTCTTTTACAGTCTGCAGAAATAACCGTGTTTATTAGGTTTATCATAGGATAAACCTGTTGTTGAACAAGTTACACCATGAAGTCTTATGATAGGCTTTAGTAAGCTTTATTTTCTTATAACAGTTAGTGGAGCTACTCAATTAGCATTGGAGAGAAAGGATTATTGTTAGCATGAAGTTTTTGAGGTCCTAGTCCCTTATGAACTGACTCCACTGATGTGTATCTGTGGTCATACATTACCAGGGGAACAAAGAGTAGAACAAAACTTTCCAATTTATAGTCAATAAAGAGAAGAGACAAAAAACTTTCTGATTGCCAAATATCCTTTATGCCATGCTTCTAGTACACTAAGAATTGCCCACTAGGTTCAGCCTCTCTGATTCTATCCTTTCCAAAAGAACTAGAAAACATATATTTAACAAACACATGAAACTTTAGGGGTAGGTAAAATGCAACCTGTAACAAAATTGACTATGAAATATTTAAAAATATGAAAATAATTTCAAATTATTGTGACAGATCATGTTTTATATGAATCATACTTTCTGTTAATTAAAGAATTAATTTTATTTTGTTAAATGTAACTTACTATATCCCTTTTATTTCTTCTGTAATCTGAAAATAGAACTCTGATATTTTTCAATGTTCTTTATTGCTGATAATGTATTGACACTTTTTCAATCACAGACACTCAAATTTCATTAATATATCTATAAGATATTATTGAAATATCAATTCCTACAACATAAAAATATTTCTAAGAAAATATTTTCCTATCAAGTTGTCTCCTCAGGGCATCCTTAATCTCATTATTCCTGAGGCTGTAGATGAGAGGGTTCAACATGGGGATCACTACTATGTAGAACACAGACAATACTTTGTTCTGGTCTGTGGAGTAGCTGGACTTGGGCATCACATAGATGAATGTGATGGTGCCATAGAACAGAGTGACTGCAGTGAGGTGGGAGGTGCAAGTGGAGAAGGCCTTGTGGCGGCCCTCAGTGGAACGCATCTTCAGGATGGTGACAAGGATGTAAGTGTAGGAGACGGCTACGACAAGCACTGTGCTCACAACGACAATGCCAACAGAAATAGTGACCAGAACAATAGAGACACTGTCATCAGAACAGGAGAGTTCAACTAAAGGAGTAAAATCACAGAAAAAATGGTTGACTTTATTTGGTCCACAAAAGAAAAAAGAAAAGAAGGAAAGGGTGAAGGACAAAGCATTAAGAAAGCCACTTATGTATGCTACTATAAGCAGCTGGACACAGACTCGTGTGGACATCTTCACGGAATAAAGCAGTGGGCTACAGATTGCCACAAAGCGATCATAAGCCATGGCAGCTAGAAGGAAGCACTCAACTGTCCCAAAGAAAGCACCTGAGCCGAGCTGAATGACACATCCAAAGTAGGTAATGGTACTTTTCTCCTCCAGAAAGTCGACAAGCATATTGGGTGTGACAGAAGATGAGTAGCCTATGTCAGCAGAAGCCAAGTGGCTGAGAAAGAAGTACATGGGGTGATGGAGCTTGGAAGAGACTCTGATGAGAAGGATGGTGCTGAGATTCCCAGACACAGTCACCAGGTAGATGCACAGGATGATGGTGAAGAGGACGACTCTCAGGACTGGGTCATCTGTCAATCCCAATAAATTGAACTCTGTCACTGCAGTGTGGTTCCCATCCTCCAGGAAAGCCATGGGACAGCGTAGCTGTTGTCAAATCAAGTCTGTGATAGAGACATTACAGGAAGGGATTTATAAAAATGTCATCATTTCCAGCCACTCAATCTTGGGATATAACAAATAAATATATCATCCAAAGACATCTGACAGTTTTAGTTGACAATATTTTAGTCAGTGTTCTTCCCAATAATGTATCTATTGCCTTTTTAATTATACATAGCAAAATATACCTATGTGGTTTTATAGCTGAATTTTAAAAATGTGAGACTTATGTAAAAAACAAAAGTTATAAATACCACAAGACTGAAAATGTGTAACCACAGAATTATGTGATGAAGGCTTAAATAGTGGCTCACCTTACTAAGTGCTTACTAAGCACCAAGGCAAGATATACAATTTTATATATGGTTCTTTAGCTTCCAACAAGTAGCATTAAGCAATCTTAGTAATTCTGCTTTATTGAGAATATTTAATTTAAAAGTGGCAAGAAGCCTAGAATCTGCATATGAACATCAGGCAGACTGACTTTGATCTAAACCTTGAATCACTATTACTTATGAAAGTATCACAATGAAGTTCAAAGTACATATACATTTCAGATGTACAACAGAGTATTTTTGCAATTATGTGCTTAATACACAAAATCTGAGCGTTGTTAGTACAAATTTCATATAGTACATTAGTGAATCAAGGCCACATCAAGAAAACTTTTCTTACTCAACTTGAAAAATCAGAATCAGTGTTTTAGAAATGGAGTGTGATGGAATGAAATCACATGGTTTTCTACACAGTACAATGATGAGCAAATATTCAACCTAAGTTAAAAATTTTGCCAAGTTTTATCCAGCTCAAGGCTTCATACACTCTTCTCTCAAGATTTTTGGCATTAATCTTCTGTTTGGCTAAGCTACTGAGTTACTTTGGTACTAAAATATTCTGTCAATAAATAAAGCAGTTATTACCACTAGTGGTTATCACTAGTTCACCATCAAAGCATTTAAGGATAGTGACTTCATTTGCCTGAGTAGTAATTTCCTGTGTTCTTAAAAACCATGCTGGCCTCTGGTTTCATCTGTGGCTAGATAAATAAGAAATCTTGAACAGGGAAGGTTACCTGAATTTTCAAAAGAGTGTGAGTATGGAAGTAGAAGTTGGTCCAGCTATTTTTTGTTCAAGTTTACTGCCTTATTTCACCTGACTTGTATGTCCACTAAAGCTTATAAATTTGGGTACATTTCCAAAGTAGAAAGTATTTTCCAAAGAAGAAGCTAAAATCAGTAAGCCACATTTACCCAAATATCTCAAAATTTACCTCTTCCAATATGAATTCATTGTGAAGTAATAAGGTCAAAGCTGCTTTGCTTTTATTGCTGCACAGCTGTCTCTTACTGTCCTCGTTTGTCCTCAAGGATGTGTCCCTGCTGAGCCTCTGGATTCAGGTGTGAATTTAAATCACTGGGGACCATCATCTCAGTTCCATTGAGTACTGTGCATTTCATTTTATATACACACACGACCACTTTTTGTCAATCTTAAGTGGTATTTTCCTCTTTTGTAAGAACTAACATGCTTCCATTTGATAGCTATTCCAAGAATATGATAAAATTATCTCAGGAGAATATTGGTTTTAAGTTTATTTTATAGGTCAGGTTATAGTAATATAAACCAAAAATACAATGATCAATTTTGCTTCTTTCATTCAATATTTGTTCAATTTATAATTACCTTGTTAATGGAAATAACACTCTTCTGAAATTTTCCTGAACCTTCTATGATGTAAAATAGAAATTTGCTTTCACTTCCATATATATCTAAATTGTTCCACTTTGCTATACAGTCAATTATTCTCAGTGTACATATGTAGTACACTTTCCATTTGTAAGAAGAACTTTCTTTTCATGCTCAACTGTGACTGACAGCAGTTATAATCTTGCACATGACAACATATGCTTAGAAGGGACCATGACAATCATATAACTTAACAGAACAATAACAGAGACTTTTCCACTGAAGCCTATGCACACAATGCTGTGGCCTTTTGACTTGGCTTATAGTAACTATCAAACTATCAGATGTTAGAAAGTTAACTCTAACATAGTAAAACTATTTATAATTAGCACAGTTATCAAGTAAGAATTACATTCACAATATCCAGTCCATTTTCATTTGGCAAATTCAGAAAAAATACTGCATTATCTATCCTATCTCATTGAATCCAAAGTTTTATACCCAACTCACTTTATATCCTAACTTGGATTACCAACCCAATACTACCCTTTTATGTGTCTTTAAAAATCTTTTCTGAGTTTCTTTTCTCAATATGGAAAACTATTTTAAAATCTAATTTGTTAGATATTAGGATTGCTACTCCCACTTGTTTCTTGGGTCCATTTGATTGAAAAACCTTTTCCCCACCCTTAACTCTAAAATAATGTCTATCTTTGAAGCTGAGATGGATTTCTTCTATGCAGCAGAAGGATGGATTTTATCTTTGAATCCATTCTGTTAACCTATGTCTTCTTATGGGCAAATTAAGACCATTAATATTGAGGAAAATTAATGACCATTGATAGATCATTCTCACTTGTTTTGGAATGGTAGGTGGTGGTGAAACTGTATGTGTATTTCCACCTCTTTTTCTTTTGCCTGTTGGTAAAGTGGGATTATCTAATGCCTATATTTTTCTGGTTATAGTTAACTTCCTTGGGTTTGAGTTTTCCTTCCAGAATTTTCTGTAGGGCTGGGTTAGTGGCTTTGTCATGAAATATCTTGTTTTCTCCATCTGTATTGATGGATATAGTAGTCTTGGCTGGCATCTGATGGATATAGTAGTCTTGGCTGGCATCTGTGGTCTCTTAATGTTGGTAAAATATCGATCCAGGACCTTCTGGCTGCATAGTTTCTATGGAGCTATGGAGAAGTCAGATGTAATTCTGATAGGTTTGCCTTTATATGTTACTTGGCCCTTTTCCCTAGTTGCTCTTAATATTCTTTCTTTATTGTGTATGCTTGGTGTCTTCATTATTATGTGGCAAGGGAATTTTTTGGGGGGGGACTCTCTATTTGGTGTTTTGCAAGCCTCTTGCACCTTCATTGGCACAACTTTCTTTAGGTTGGGAAAGTTTTCTTCTATTATTTTGTTGAATATGTTTTCTGGCCCTTTTGAGGTGGGTTTCTTCACCTTCTTCTATACCTATTATTCTTAAGTTTGGTCTTTTCATGGTTTTCCATATTTCCTGGATATTTTCTATTAGGGATTTTGTTGGACTTAAAATTTTCTTTGGTCGATGAATCTATTTCTGCTAATGTGTCTTCAACACCTGAGATTCTTTCTTCCATCTCTTGAATTCTGTTGGTTATGCTTGTATCTGTAGTACCTGACAGTTTTCTCAGCTTTTCTATTTCCAGCATTCCTTCAGACTGTGTTTTTTTATTGTTTCTTTTTCAAATTCAGCCCTTGCACTATTTGAATTGTTTCTTGCAATTTTTGCTTTCTCTTTTCTTCCATTTCTTGCATTTTTGGATTGTTTTTTTCTTCCATTTCTTTAAGGGATTTTTTCATATCCTTTGAGGGCCTCTGTCATTTTCATGAAGTTGTTTTTAATGTCATTCTCTTCTGGTTCATTTGTGTTGGGCTGTTCAGGTCTTGTTGGAGTAGGGTCTCTGGACTCAGGCAGTGTCATATTGGTTTATCTGTTGCTCCTTGTGTTTTTATATTGTCTCCTTCCCATCCATTCTTGAAGTGGGTTCCAGGAGGTGCCGCTTCCTCTCCTGGTGTGTGTGGGACAAGGGTTCCCTTTTGGTGGGTGTAGCAAGTCCAATGTTCTGGTAGCTCTCCACTTCCTGGTCTTGTGGAATGAGAAAAGGACTAGGATGCTGGGGTGCTTTGGATCCCACTGGGAAGGATGGGAACCCCGGTAGTATACCCCAGGCACAGGAGTATGGCCTGGAGTCAGGCCCTGATAGTGTTAGTCATGTGGGTGGAGCAGGAGACTAGGATGCTTGGGTGCATTGGCTCCTGCCTGGGGGTGGAAGCTACAGTGGCAGTCCCCAAACACCAATAGTGGCCTGATCCCGTGGACGGAGAGGAGACTAGGGTGTTTTGGCTCCCACCTCTGGGATGGAAGATGCAATGGCAGTCCCCAAGCACCAGCAGGCTACCCGGTCATGGGCCCTGGTTTACCTGGACCTGTGGGTGGAGCAGGAAACTATGGAGCATTGGCTCCCACCACTGGGATGGAAGATGCCTCGGTAGACCCCAAGCATAGGCAGCCGCTGTGGTGGAGTAGGAAACTAGGGTACCTTGGCTCTCGCTGCCTCTGGGATGGAGGCTGCAGTGGTAGTGCCCAGGCACAGGCAGGTGGCCTGGAAATCTCACAGAAGTGAGTTTTCTTTCAATAAATATCCTAGGACATCCCTAAATTTGTGTAGTTTAATATTGCTGCTTCAGCTGGTGTCAGAGTGATTCATCCAGCCCCCAAAACTCGGGCTCGATGAGGCAAGCCCTCGGGGCACCTGTGTCCCAAAAAAAGTGGCAGCACTGCAGTTTCGTTTTTTCTGTTTTCTCTTCTGAGCAATTCTAGCCCCTCCCCTCCCTGCACAGGAAGCCTTGCTGCCTGGTAGCCGGACTTTCCCTGTCACCTGTAGAGCACAAATCACCGATAAACCAGGCCCTGATTGTGCTGCTAGGTTAGCGCTGTGCCCTTCCTCTCCCCAACCTGCAACTGAGCACCGCAAGTCTACACTATTTGCCCACCCACCCAAGCCTGCGAGCTTGAGTGTGTGTCCTCTGCTAGTACAAAACTGTGCATACTTCACCAGGCCATGCAGTTTGCATTCCCTGTTCTGCCTGAAAAATTTTATGGCTGTTATCTGTCCATGGGTCTCCCAATCTGCACAGGCTTTTCCCTCCCCAAATCTGTTTGCTAGTTTGCTGTACAAGCTGTTTAGAAACTTTCAGTTGTTACTTGGAAAAATACCGAGGTTTCACGGAGGAGCTGTGTTTGGTGGCACACA